GGGAATCGTGCCTACCCCGCTTATATATTATAGACCTCTCGCTACTCCGCTAAAGAGGAAGAATCCCTCTTCCTATAAGCTTTAGTCTTACGATAAGGAGAATATAATATATATAGCGTAGTACCTTTAGCTATCTCTACTACCTAACTAATTATACTGTAATATATATTCCCTTATAATTTCTAAAGCCTCTTTTTTAGTTACTTAATAGAGATAGCTACTTAGAGAAGACTATATAACGCTCTTATAACGCAACGTAGTAGTTAACTAGTTAAGGCCTCTTTATTATATATATTAAGTATCTACTTAAGAGATAAAGAACCGGAAGATATATCCTTAGAATAGACCCCTATTATAGATAATATTCTAACTATATCGAAGATATCGCTACTTATAGGCGTAAGACCGTCGACTTATAAAGAAAAGCTTATAGCCCTATAAGCGTATATTAAGGAGCTAGAGGAGACAAAACGCCTATAAGACCGCGTTATATAATTAAAGGAGGAAATTACTAAACGTGCCGGCGCTATCGCTATCCGTTTAAGAAAGCGTTAACGGTCCTACTCCCTTAAATCGGATAGTAGTCGCGGTAGTAAGGTTAAGATTAAAAATATCGCTTAATTATCTTAACCTACTAATATACGGAAACGTCTAGACTAGACTTACGATCTAAAGGACGCCTTTAGGGCAGCGCCTAAATACTTTTATTATAATAAAATAAAGATCCTCTACGCGGTAGATTATATATATAGCGACTATAAAGTAAGATAGCGCCGATACTTTAAAGAATAGACGCCGATTAACCGAACTAAATATAGTATAAATTAGGTATACTTTAAGGAATAGAAACTCGTTCTAATTAAGGATACTATAAATAGGGAGATACTATTAGCGATATAATTAAAGGAGGCTCGCTAATAAAAAGGCTAGTCCCTCTTAGAGTTTAGCTTATACCTTAACTTCTTAAAGAGGCATTTTAAACGCCTATCGGAAAAAGCGCGTGCTCTTACGTTTTTCGCTAAGCTAGAGCTATAACTTTAAGACTAAATTAACCTTTATTTAATACCTATTTATACCTACTAACGGGAAGAGCTTATATAAGTCGCTTAACGATATTAAGATATTACTATTAATAAGAAGCGACGTACTAATACTACTTTTACCTTTAAAGGAACTAAGAATAAAAGTAGTACTATACCTTAAGGCGGTATATATAGGGGAAGGAATTAAAGAGGTCGATAAGCTAGGCCGAATTATTAAGGAAATACTACCGATTCGACTAATAACTAATAAGCTAGCGATATACCTACTAAGGGCCGAACTAAAGGACGTTATTAAGGAAGAGGATCTTTTACTCGATTAGGAATTATATATTTCTAATATAATAAGCTAGGATACCTATCTATAGAATATACTAATTCTTTAAAGGTAGAAACCTTAGTAAAGACTCTTAGACTTAATACTATAAAATAAGGAAAAGGTAAGATATTAAGGTAAACGCCTCTCCCTTAGTAAACTTAATACCTATAAGATAGTTACTTAAAACTCCTATAATAATATTAGGGCGAAACCCTACTAAAGTCCCTATATACCTAGATACTTATAGTGCCGTTAACCTTATAGATATATACTTTACTTAATAGTAGGGATTACTATAAGTAGCGCTATTATACCCTAAGTTATTAAGGCTTAGTAATAGTAGGGTAAGAGAGTATAGAGTATAGTTAGTGCCGCTTTAAATAATAAATATAAGAGGCACCGAAAAGATAATTACTTATTTCTATATTAGTACCGATAAGTTAACGCTAAACGATTAGGTATTAATCCTTTTATTAGTTACTACCTTAAAAGATAAACGTATCTATATTATCCTATAGAAACGATAGTAGTAGTTTAAGTATTAACTAAGTAGCGAAACCCTATAGAATCCTTATAGATTCCTTTAGGAATATAAGAATAAGGTAAGGGTATATATAATAGCGCTTAATCTTAAGCTAATCCCGCTACTAAATAAAGATAAGGATAAAGGGATTTTATAGGAAGAATAGGCCGAAATCCTACCGACTTTTTACTAGTTTAAAGATACTTTCTTAGCTAATAAATCCGACTTATTACTAGCTAGAAAGGGAACGGATTACTTAATTAATTTAATCCTTAATATAGAACCCCCTTATAGACCGATTTACCTTTTATTATAAAGAGAACTCTAAGTATTACGCGACTAGATCTAAGACGCGATAAGAAGGAAAATAATCTAAGAGTTAAAGAGCTTAGCTAGGGCGCTTATTCTTTTCGTTTTAAAAAAAGATAGTACTTTACGGCTATATATAAACTACTAAGGACTTAACTAGGTTATATAAAAGAATCGGTACCCTTTACCCCTTATTTTAAAGATTATTAACCGCTATTAAGGGGCTAAGTATTTTTCTAAGATTAATATATAGAATATATATTAATGTATTTAAATTTAAGAAGGAGATAAATAAAAGACCGCTTTTTAAATACATTATAGATATTTCGAATACTTAGTAATACCCTTTAGACTTACTAATATACTAGCTATATTTTAAAGCTATATCTATTAAGCGCTTAAGGGGCTTATAGATATAATCTATATAGTCTACCTCGATAATATCCTTATATACTTTAAAACGAGAGAAGAATATACTAAATACTTAGGATAAGTAATAGAAAGGCTAAGGGCTATAGAGCTCTATATAAAACTATCGAAGTATATCTTTTATTAATAGTTAGTTAAGTTCCTTAAGTTTATATTATCTATTAATAAGGTATTAATAGACCCTCGATAGGTAAAGGTAATAGCCTAATAGCTTAAACCTATAACCTACTATAATATTTAGGTTTTCCTTAGGTTCTATAATTTTTACTAACGATTTATATATAGGTACTTAAGAGTTATAGCGCCCTTAACTATATTACTAAAGGGGAGTAAGAATAAAAAGAAGCTAGGGAGTATAAAGCTAAACCTTACTAAAAGGGCAGCGTTTTAGGCTCTTAAGGATACTTTTTAAAGAGCCTTACTCCTTTAATATTATAATCTAGAAAGATATATTTATATTAAAATAGATATATCGTAATTCGCGATAGTAGGGATTATCTCTTAACTTAATAACGAAGGACGTTACTATCCGATCGTATTTTAGTTAAGGAAGTTTACTAGAGCTAAACTTAATTATAGTATTTTAGACTAAGAACTCTTCGCTATCGTTAAGTTATTTAAATACTAGCGATATTACGTTAAAGGGGCAGCGTATAAAGTAAAGGTATTATCGGACTACTATAACCTTTAGACGTTTATATACTAAACCTCCCTAAATAAGAGGTAAGTAAGATAGTATATATATTTAGTACTATTCGACTTTACGATTAAGTATTATATAAGTAAATCTAACCTAGCGGACGCGCTATTAAGAATACCTAGATATAAGGGCGAGAAGCCCTTATTTATAGAACTATTATTAGAGCTATAAGCGAAACTAGCTACTATTAATACTATATCTATATAAAGAAATAACGAGGCGTTTTTATAAGTAAGGAGATACTTAACCTCGAGTTAATATAAGTATAGTAAAGTGCCTTTATATAAGGAAAATATATAAGCTTATCTATAGTAGAACTATAATAATTTAGGCGCGAGACCTAAACGATTAGCCGATTAAGCTAAAGAGAGAGCTAGTTATAAATAGTTACTCTTAAGGAAGACCGCTAAAGAAGCGGCCTACTATATAAAGGTTTATATAGTAGAAGTTCTAGAACTATTACTAGAGTTACTAAAATATACTTAGTTAGTTAATATAGCGATTAGTAGGCTAAAGGAGACTAAAGACTTCTCGAAAGGGAAGGGTTTCTAGTTAGTATACTTAGATAGACTACTATTATAGAAGGGTTATATCGTAGTGCCTCTAAAGGTAGCTTTATAGTAAGAGCTAATATAGCTCTTTTATAACGATCTATTAATAAGATACTTTAGCTCTTAACGTACTAGCGAACTACTAGTAAGGAACTTCTATTAAGATAGAATAATAAAAGATATAAATAAATACGTCTAGTTATACTTAGTATATTAAGGTATAGTATCTAAGAGGTATCGCCCTTATAGTACTATATAATCGTTATTATATCCTATACGACTATAGGAAGAATTATTAATAGACTTTACTATAAGTCTACCTAAAGTATAGTATAATAGATAAGACGTTAATATAATCTTAGTAATTATAGACCGATATACTAAGTATTACCTCTTCTTTCCTATTTCTAAGATAATAATAGCCCTAGAGCTAGTAGAATTATTCTATTACTAAGTTAAATTAGTATATAGACCTCTAAAAGGTATTATCTTAAATAAAGGGTCCCTATTTATAAGTAAGTTCTAGTTAGATCTTTATTTTATCTTATAAGTAAAATATAGGCTATCGATAGTATTTTACCTATAAACTAATAGGTAAATAAAATAAATAAACTAAGCTATATAGTACTACTTAAGATACTTTACTAACTTAAAATAAACTAACTAAGCGTTACTCCTACGTATTACTTAATTTATATATAATAATATAAAGAACGCGATAACTAAGTTATTACTTAATAAAGCGTTAATAGGTTACTAACTAAACTTCTATATTAATACTAAGGACGATATTATTTAAAAGGGGGTACTTAAAGTAAGAGTAAGAGTTACTAGGCTATAGGAGCTATAAAAGAGGCTTAAGGAATACTAAGGAAAGGCTATTAAATTATAAGCAAAATACTATAATTTAAGGTATTAACCGCTTATACTAAAAGTAAGAGTATTATAGAGTAAGTAGAGGTATATATATAGGTGCCGTCTATAAGATAATATTAATAAGCTATATAGAGCTCTTTTATACGCGGCTAGCCCGCCCTTATACTTATAGGATCTAGCCCTCTATATATAACTATATAGCTTAGGCCGCGGCCTAAGCCTATTACCTATAATAGTTAAAGACTCTTATATAATGCCCTCCCTTAAGCGCGGCGTAGCGCTGCCCTATTAACGGCTCCTATATAATTAAGCCCGTGCCGCGGGCTCTTCCCTACCCTTTCCTATTAATAGGGCCGGCCCTACTAGCCCTATTATCCCCGCGCCCGTTAGCTTAGGTAGCCGGGACCCGGCTCTATACTTATCGGCCGGCTAGCCGTTTAAATAAGGGCATAACCTATTATATACGCCCCTAGGTAGCCGGCGGCTAGTCCGGACCTACGTAAGCCTTAGGTTACCTATCCCCTCTACCTTAGGTAGTATCCTCTACTAAGGGGTATATAAGGCGGCATCCCCCCCTTCCCCCTTCCCTTCCTTCTCTCCCTTCTTTAACCGTAGTAGTAGGATTAATAGGTAAGTTTTACTCTACCTAGGGCGTTAGTCCGTTCCTAGCTATATAGGCCGCTCTATTAACGTATACTTACGGTAGTAGCGGTAGTAGTAATAATAGCCCTAATAATAATAATAACTTTAACTAGTAAGTTCCGCGCCCTATAGAGCGGGAGGCCGTATTCCGTCGTGCTAACTTCCGCGATAGATATATCCGCCTCTCCCTCTCCTACCTCCTCCTTCTCGGAGCGTACGGAGTCGTTCGTCGACGCCGTGCTAGCCGCGGCCGACGACGACTCCGCCGCTGCCGCCGCTCCTGCCCGCGCCGCTGCCACCGCTCCCACCGCCGCCGCCGCCGCCTCTACTACGCTATTCGCTCTCACGTCGCCCCTTAGGGTAACGACGCCGTCCCCGCCGCTACCCGTGACGCCCGGCCCATCGGCCCCCGCCTCCGTCTCCGCCACCCCCGTAAGTCCGTAGTTAGGCAAGCGTAATAGACGTTATCCGCTAACCTCCTATAGCATAAGCGCTAAGTATAGGCCGGCGCCGCCCGCTCGGCCCCCTATATACGTTATACGTCGTAGGAGCTCGACTGCTCCGACTAGGCCGGGCGCCGCCGCGGCGGCAGCTGCTACTAGTGCGCGCGAGCCGGCCGCGCCTATAAGGCGGCGCCTCCCGTCCTACTCGCTACGGCGTCGGCTTAGAAGGCCGGCTCGTACGGGCAGGCGCGGGGGGCTACTAAGAAGCGCCTTACCGCCGCCGCCGCCGCCTACCGTAACCTCCGCGCCCTCGATGTTACGACCACGGTCCAGCGAACCGCGGGGACTAATACATATCACGAGGTCACGTGACGTAGGGAGCAAGGAATATTAGACGGACCAACGGGCCAATTAAGTTTAGAGCGACGGGTCACTCTAGCGCTCTAACGCTCTACGGCTAGGATCGTAGGATCGCTCTAGCGCTCTAGCGCTCCTAGACGACGGGATCACCTAGCGCTCTCGGCGATCTAGGGAAGCTCTCGAGATATATAAGGAAGGAACGGAATACTCCTTTAGATAGATAGCTCGATAGCTTTTAATACTATAATTATTACGATCTCTATTACGATCTTATCTCTAATTCCGATTACTTAATTACTTAGTTATAGTCTATAGTCTACGACCTCTAACTTATTACTAATATAATATACTTATTATTACTTAGACCACGCCCTATTATATCTACTAATATAAACCCCTCGATAGGTTTATCCCTTAAGAATAATACCGGTCGTTATACGTTAAAAGCTCTTATTTAGTATAATACCGCGTTACTCTAAGTAATATCGTAACTATTAATATACCTATATAGTAAGCTAGATTAACTAACTCTAAAGCTACTATATCGCCTTAGGATATAATATATAAGATTATTACCCTTTAATATAAGGTATAGTTACTTAGGAACGGAGGAGGTAATAGATAAGTTAGGGACCTTAGAGAAGTAGTTAAACTAAAATAGCTAAGACTATTTAATAGTACTTATAGTATACTTCGAGACTTTCTTACCTAACTTAAGGCCTACTACCGGTTTTACCTTACTAAACTTTTAGACTTAGTCGAAAAGGTATTCTACGTAGGAAATTATTTATCTAGAACGGCACTCGCTTAGTTTAGACCTATTATAAGGGACTTTCTCGATAACTAACTAGCGCGACGAGATAACGAAATAGATAAAGTCTTTACTAGTTTCTAAGGATTTAAAGAAGCTATTATAAAGGTATTTAGAATAACCGACGAGGAATAAGAAGCTAAATAAAAACTTTAAGAACCTTAATAAAGGATCTTAGTATCGGATTATACTATAAAGTTCCGTTAAGTTACCTTAAAGCTTAATTAGGACAACGAACCTCTTATATTATAATTCTACGATAAGCTTAAAGAAGAAGTTAAGGACGAGCTTTATAAGGAAAATCGACCTAATAACCTCTTAGACTATATTACTATAGTAGTACGAATCGACGATAGATAGTATACGCGACGCTAAGAAAAGAAATAAGGAAGAGGAAACTAAAACCCTTCCTATAAAAATAACTTTAACTAACGCGCTAACTATAAAAAGAAGCGCGAAACTCCTATTACCTACGCCTATATAACTAACCTAGGTAGGATAGATCTAGATATAATATAGAAAAGTAAAGGAAAGTATTTTAATTATAGGAAACTTAGATATTACTTTAAAGAATATAAATAACCTTATAAGGAGAAGAAAACCTACTAGGTACTAGCCCTAGAAGGTAAGAAATACCTAAACGCTACTAATAGATAGGAACTAAAGTATAAACTCCTTAGTTAGACTATATACTACGACGACGAATATATAGTATACTTAAGCGATAAGGATAGTACTAGATAGTTCCTAAAGCTACTAAAGAAGACCCTTATAATAATATAACGAAGGGATCCTAAAATATAGAAATAAGTTAAATTCGTAGAACTAGAATACCCCTATCTTAAAGGAGTCTCCTAAGACTAGATTAAGAAGAACGGTAAACGATTCTAAGAAGATATATAAAATAAAAATTAATAATAATAACGGGCAGTTTATAAATAATATAATAAGGAAGATATAGATATAGCCCTTATACTTACGAAACTCGGATAATAACCTAAGGAGGAATAACGAAGTATCGACGATATAAGCTCTAAAGAATAAGAAACACTTAGAGAAACGGAAGATAAGAACGAACTCGTACTACTACCCTCGCTATTAAGGGAAAATACTACGATTAAAGAATATACTCTATACTTTAAAGAATTTAAAGAAATACTTAAAATTAGAACCTAATAAATACCTTAAATTCTTATAGAAAACTAATAAGCTATATTAATTTAGTATTAACCGGTACTACGTAGAGGAGACTATACTATAGCTATCGCCGCGGTCGATACTTTTATAGCTCTATAACGAAAATAATAACTATAAGGAGAATTTTTAGATAACCTAAGAATAGTACTTAGTTATAAAGAGTATAAGTATATTTTATAGATCTTATATATTTACTTAGACTATATAATATACTTTTAGATAAAGGTATAATATAACGCCTTCCTAGTTAAATTCGAAGGATAAGTACTTTTAAAACCCTACCTAAGTATAGAACTAAACTACTAGAAAATCGATTAACGCTACTTAAACGACTAAGTTATATTATTAAAACCCGATTACGGTATACTACTAGAATACCGCGATAATTATAGTTTATTAACGAGGTATCTTTTAGAGATATATAAAATCTATAAATACGCTAAAATAAAGGAATAGTATAGCGCTACTTACTCTAAGGTATCTAAACTATTAATCTTTTAAAGACTTATATAACGAATTAAATATAATAAAAAAGATTATAACGAATACGTATACTTAAACTATAGAATTTACGAATATAAAAAAGTATAAGTATAGTATAAACGATATAACGGTATATTAAAAGATTATTAGTAATACGTACGAAGGCTATAAGCCGTATTCGACTAAGGAAGAATCGATATAGAAATACTATATACGAAATAGAAAGATATAGAATAAAAACTTAACCTTTAGTACGAAAACAAATAAAATTATAAAGTATAGTACGTAATTAACTATAAAGTAGTATAATATAAATAATATAGCGTCGAGAAATAGGAAATCTTTAATTAGCTATAAGAAATTAGTCTCTTAAGCCCTAATATAATACTACGCGATAAAAATATAAAGAAACGATATTAATAATAAATCGAAGAAGAATACCTAAATAAAATAAATAAAGACTAGGTAAAAAACGAGGTACGCTATCTATAAAAGGGCTATAGACTAGCACGATATAATAAGATCTAAGGACCCTATATATAGTAATAGTAAGCTATAGCGACTAAATAGTATTAGATATTTAAATCGCGGGATATTATATACGTATACTTTTAGACTATAGTATAATAGGTAATTACGTTTTACCTAGAGTTATTAATCGTTACCGACTTATATAAAGATATAAGATAGATCTATATAAACTTACGAATATTAAAGGAGAAGCCTTTAACTATAATAACGGAATTATTAATATAGAGATTAATTACCTTAATATTAATATCTAGGGCTATAACGAATAAGTTAACTTCGATATTATAGATATTAAAAAACACGACCTTATATTAAGGCTTCTATAGCTATAGGAGAGCAACCTACTAATTAACTAGAGAACTAGCTAGCTATATTAGGATAAAGACATAAGTTTCTAGGACTAGTAGATTTAGGAGAAAGTAAAATTTTACGATAATTTAGCTACTAAATAGGATAAAAGAGATAACCGTTTAAGTAAATTATTATAGGCTTTAGCAATATAAATAAAAATAGTAACCGAACTAGCGGATATAATAAAATCGACTAATAAGACCTACGTACTAACTAACACGGCTATATAACCTAGTATCTAATATAAATAAAATAAAGGATATAATATAAAGATTTAAAGAGTTATTACTACTTTAAGGAAAGACCTTAAATAAATTAATAAAGAGCTTAAGTTAAGAGAAACTAGCTCTTAAGAGAAAGAATAAAGCCTATAAGATAGAATAAAGAATATCCCCTAGGAATACTAGAAATATAATAAACTCTTTAAAGAAGAACTCGAGATAGGGTTACCTAAATATAGTTAATAGGACTACGAAATTTATCTTAAGGATAGAATAACGCTAACGTTCTATAAGATCTATAACCTAAACGAAAAGTAACTATAAACGCTACGCGACTACCTCGACGAAAATCTATAAAAGGGATATATATAAACGTTAATATCTAAAGTAGGCTATCTAGTTATATTTATTCTAAAGAAAAACGGTAAGCTATAACTAGTTATTAACTATAGACGCTTAAACGATATTATAATAAAGGACTAAATACTATTACCGCTTATATTAAAACTACGAGATCGACTATATAGTAAAATATAGTTTATAGCCCTTAACCTTAAAGGCGCCTATAACTTAATACGTATAAAAAAGGGATATAAATAGATAATAGCTTTTAGAACGAAATTCGGACTATTTAAATATCTAGTAATACTATTTAGACTTATAAATATACTAGCTACCTTTTAACGGATAATTAATAATATCCTATATAAATACTTAGATATCTTTATAGTAGTATACCTAGATAATATCTTAATCTTCTCGGATACCTTAGAAGAATATAAGGAATACGTCTATAAGGTACTCTACGTACTTTAGAATACAAAACTACTAGTTAAACTAAAAAAAAGTAAGTTCTATATATAGGAAGTAGACTTCCTTAGATATACGATCTTACTAAGAGAGATATAGATATAATAAGATAAGATTAACTTAGTTAAAGAATAGCTAATACTAAAGAACGTTAAAGATATATAAAGTTTCCTAGGATTTGTAAATTACTACTAACGATTTATTAAAGATTTCGGAAAGATTATAGCACTACTATATAACTTAACGAAGAAGGAAAAAGAATTTATATAAGACGATAAAGCTAATAAAGCTTTTAAATATATTAAGACTATAATTATATAAGAACTAGTCTTAACTACCTTTAATCTAGAACGATAAATCGAACTTAAAACCGATATATTAGACTTTGCTCTAGGAGTATAAATCGGATAGAAGGACGATAAAGGAAGACTATAACTAATTATATTCTACTTAAAGAAGCTATATAGCGTAGAACTTAATTACCTTATCTATAATAAAGAATTCCTTATAATTATTTAAGCTTTTAAGGAATTTCGATACTACCTTCTTAAAAGTAAGTATAAAGTTAAGGTCTATATAGATTATAAGAATATCTTATACTTTATAATAATATAATAGTTAAATAGACGATAGATCTAATAGGCCGAATATTTATCGGAATTCGACTACGAAATAATCTATAGAAAAGGAATAGAAAACGGTCGAGCTAATACCCTTAGTCGACGAAGTAACTACGATATAAGAGCACTTATAGCGAAAAGATAGCTCCTAAAAATCAACGAAAATAAGAACTACTAGCAACGATAGCTAAATATAATATTTAAAGTATAACCTAACGACTTAATATATTAAAAGATCCTAAAATAAAGAAAAGAATATAAAGCACTAAATAGATATAATATAGAATATTTAAAAGTTCTAATATATAAAAATAAAATCTAAATACTACTAGAATTATAAGATAAAGTTATATAAGATATATACGAATATTTAATATATAGATACTAAGGAATCTAAAGAATAATAAAACGGATTAAATAATAATATAACTTCCTATAGCTTAAAAAAGCAGTATAATAAGCTATTAAAGAATATAAACGTTATATACGAAGTAAAGCTAAACGATATAAACTATATAGAGAATTATAACCGCTACTAGTACTAGAGAAACTATAGGATTTAATAGCTTTCGACTATATTATAAAGCTACTACTATTAAAAGAACCTATAACTAACGTTAAGTACGATAGTATATTCGTTATTACCGATAAATTAATAAAATATAGATACTTCTTACTATATAAAGAAGTAAGTAATATAGAAGAGCTAGTATATATATTCCTACGAACTATTATTAGTAATTATAGACTACTAAATAAGATTATCTTTAATAAAGGAAGTACGTTTATAGCTAAATTTTAGTAAGCTCTTATAGTATAATTAGGGACGAAATATAAGCTTAGTATAGCTTATTACCTATAAATAGATAGATAAATAGAATAACTTAACTAAACGCTTAAATAATATTTACGATACTATATTAGCTACGAATAAAACGATTAAGTTAAATAGCTACTAATAGCGTAACTAGCTTATAATAGCTTAGTTATAGAAATAACTAAGCTCTTACTAGTATATACTAATTATAGATATAACCTAGAAGTATTTAAGGTTGCTCGATAAGGACTATAAGCGGAACGAGCGATACTATAAGTAGATTAGCTATGAAAATTATATAAAGAAATATAATAAGAACTTTAATTTATTAGAGAACGAATATCTACTTATTATAATCGGAAAAGATTATAGGGACTAATCTTTTAAGAGGGAGATATAGTCTACCTTATATAACGAAATATTAAAATAAAACGACTAAGTAATAAATTAGATTTTAAGAAACTTAGACCGTTTAAGGTTAAGAAAGCTATTTTAAAAGTTAACTACGAACTTTCGCTACTAATAATAATATAGATATACCCGATATTTTATATCTTATTATTAGAACTAGTACTACGAAACGCTAAACTATAGGATAAAATCGAAGTCGATAATAATTAGGAATATAAAGCTAAATAAATACTAAATATAAGAAAATAAGGTTAGTAATAGGAATACCTTATTAAGTAGAAGGGATATAGGCTAGAGGAAAATACCTAGGAACTACTTAAGCACTTAACCTACTATAGCTCTCTACTCCGATAGTTCTACTAAGCGAACCCTTAATTAGAAATATAGGGTTACTAAGAATAGTATCCTAGTCTAATACGTCTAAGGCACTAAACGATTAAACCTCGCTAATAGTAATAGTTTCCTTATTTAATAAATAAACTAATTCGTTTTAAGAAGAACGCGTTATACTATCTTCTTTATTAATAGCTTATATACCCCGCTAAAATAACTTACTACCTTAGTCCTTTAGGAAACGCTTTTATTTCCTAATCTAAGCTAGGCGAGCTATCGCTTCCTTTAACGCTTCTTTTACTTTCCGTTTATCCGAATTAATCTTTTACTATTAATTTATAATACGACGAACTAGAAAAAAAGGAATATTAGTAAAAAGAATAATAAGGAAGGAAAGGGATAAAAATAAATAGGCGGACGCTATATTATAACTATTATAAGAACGGCCTATAAAGGTATATTTAGAATACCGATTAGAACGCTCGCCGACTTTATAAGTTAGGCCTAACCGAAAATAATAGGAGCAAGGTATAATTTTAATACCGTAGATCTCGGTCTAGGATGCTAGCTCCGATCGTTAACGCGATTTATCGGAATTACGGGAACGGGATTTTTAAATATAACTAGACATACTATTAGCAGTATATCCTAAAAGGATAAAAGAATAAGGAACGATATACTTACGCATAACGCGATAAGAGTATATTTATATACGGCGGCTAAAGTAGTAGGTCTTAGGGATAAGACTAAAAGAAGGGGAGGTATCCTATTACGACTATAGTCTAGCGAACCGCGGGGACTAATATATATTACGAGGTCACGTAACGTAGAGAGCAAGGAATATTAGATAGACTAACGGGCTAATTAAGTTTAGAGCGATGGGTTACTCTAGCGCTCTAATACTCTATAGCTAGGATCGTAGGATCGCTCTAGCGCTCTAGCGCTCTTAGACAATAGGATTACCTAGCGCTCTCGGCGATCTAGGGAAGCTCTCGAGATATATAAGGAAGGAATAGAATACTCCTTTAAATAGATAGCTTAATAGCTTTTAATACTATAATTATTACGATCTTTATTACGATCTTATCTTTAATTCTAATTACTTAATTACTTAGTTATAGTCTATAGTCTATAACCTTTAACTTATTACTAACGTAATATACTTATTATTGCTTAGACCACGCCCTATTATATCTATTAATATAAACCCCTCGATAGGTTTATCCCTTAGGAATAACACTGGTCGTTATACTCGAGCGATAGGGCCTTATGCCTAAGTAAGTCTTACTCCTCCGCTCCCTTATTTCCGCCTCTAACGTACCTAGCGCTAAGGACACTGCCTCCGTCGCCCTATTAGCGGTCCCCTTAGCCGTGCGCGCCTCCGCTACCGCCGCTACCCCTGCCACCGCCGCTAGCCGCCGCCCCTTTACCCCTAGAGCCGCTGCCGCCGCCGACTAGCTTACGGGCTTAGAGGGCCGCCTTAGCGCCTTAGAGACCGCCGCCGCCGCTAATAAGAAGGAGGAGGCTAATAAGGACAACGATAACGAGGATAATAATAATAATAATAATAAGGAATAGGCCTAGGTAGTTTAGGGGCTCCGCCTTATAATAAACGCTATTTTTATCTCTACTTATACTATTACGCTTATATTGCCTATATTACCGTAACTACCCCCTCCGCTATACCTACTTTATAGTCCTAGCCTAGGCTATTATCGGTAGTCCGCTAGTCTGTTATTTTTATTTACTATTCCGAATAAGCCTTTAAACTTATTAAGGGCTATAGTTCCTATAAACTTATATATAGGTTCTTATATAAGGTCGAGATACCCGCGCTACTTAACGAGGACCTCTTAGCGTTTCCCCCTACTAACCTTTTTCTAGCGCGCGGCCTATATCTCTTTAACCTCGAACTTATCCTCTCCCTCTACCTCGATTATAGGCGGTTAAGCGTCCGCTGCTTCTTATCCGGGTAGCGGGTTAAAGGAGGCTCTATAAAGGAGGTCTACGTTAATCTTATTATAGACCCCCGTTAAGAGACTATCGAGCTCTATAACCTATAGGCTAATAACCCTCTATACCGTAAACTTCGCGTATAGCTAGTTAAGCTTCTTCTTTAGCTATACCGACCTATAGTTACGGAGGTCTAGCTATACCTTATCTCTTACTATAAACCTATCTACTAGGGCCCTAGTCTTATTAGCGTGCCGCTCTTAATCTTACGCCGCGGCGGCTATCGCGGATTAGTAATAATCTATAGTCTCTTATAGCTTTTATACGAACGTAGAGGCGCGGCCTTCTAGTAATAAATTACTATACTACTCCGCTACTATATCTATAGTAAAGGGAACTAATAAGGGTAGTTTAAAGCTATATATTATAAAGAAAGGGGCTATCTTAATAGAGGTATATAGTCTACTATTTAATATAAGTTAGGCCGCGGGGAGCTAACGGTCTTAGTCTACTTAATTATAGGCTATAACGGCCTATAAGTAAGCCTACGCCTCTTAGTTAACCCTCTTAGGCCCTCTATTAGTCTATAGGTAATATACTATACTAAGTAGCTATATAATCTAAAGTAGCTAGTATAGGTACTATTAAAAGCGGCTAGTTTAATTCGATCCCCTATTACTTATAATAAAGGCTAGCTAGCTATACGAGCGGGCCTAGTACTATAGGAAGCGCTTTATATAGGACTCTATATTTATAGATAGTATCGGCTTTAATACTATAAACTTACTAAGTCGGTCCTTAATTACCTATATATAGTAGTTGCCGCCCTCTATAAGTAGGAGGTCTATTATAAAGTCTATCTATATATACGTATAAAACCGGTTAGGTACCGGAAGCTACTTAAGTAGCCCCTTAAGCTATACCCTTTAAATCTTAGTATAGCCGTAAATATTATAGTTATAAAGAAAGCGGTAAATATAGTACTATAAGAGGGGCTAGTAGAAATCCCTTACGAGGCCTACTACTATGCCCTGCTTACCTAGGTAGCCTATAATACTAAAGTTATAGACGAGCTAGACTAGCTTCCCTTAGAGCTTATTCCGTTTATCTAGCTCCGGCGGTCTATCCTTCTCCCTAGCTTCTATAGTATACGGCGCGCCCGGCACCTATAGTCTCCCCCGCTAACGTAGGTGCCCCCGTAGGTCGATATAATAGTTAGCTACTTATACCTTTAGCTTTAGCTTTAGATCGAGGCGTTAAGCGCCGGACTTAACGGCGCGGCGTACGCTCTTATAGGTATGGTCTAAAGACGATATCCTATCCTATAAGCGCTAGAGGACCTTATCTTAGAACACCCGCGCTATACGCGCCCCTAGGCTAGTCTATCCCTCCTCGCTAGGCCGAGGTAAAGGTATAAGGGAAGGCTTATCTATTAGCGCCGCGCCTTCCTCTACTAGGAAAGCTCTTATATAAGTCCGTAGCGCTTCTTACGGGATAAGCTATAGATCTTAGGCCTCGATATCCGCTCCCGTCGGCCGGTCCTAATCCCTCTAGGAAAGCGTATCTAGGACTATAAAGTCCCGCCCTAGCCGGTACTTAATTAAGAAGTTAAAGTATAAGAGATACTCCGCTTAGCGGGCTTACCGCTCTAAGAGGTGCTAGCGAGTTATAAAGTACTCGAGGTTCTTATAGTCTATAAGAACCTCGAAGCTCTTATAGCTCCGGAGCTCCGCTTACTATTACTTAAGGTAGCTAATAATCGCTAGTATCTCCTTATCGTAAATAACGTAATTCCGCTTTACTAGGGTTAGCTTATAGGAGTAGAACGCTATTAGTTACTTCCGCTTATCTACCTCCTAAAAGAGCGTTCCTCTAAGTACCTAGCCGCTATAGTCCGCTTTAACTAACGTAGACCGGTCGAAGTCCTACTAAAGTAGTACCGGGGCTTAAGAGAATAGGTCCTTAAGCGTATAGAACGCTCCTTCCTATACGGGCCTTTAGTAAAAGGCGGTCCGCTTCCCGGTAATCTTATTTAAGGGTATTATAATATAAGAGAAGCCCTTAATAAATATCCTATAATAGTTCGCGAACCTAAGGAAGCTCTATATACCTATCTACGTAGTTAGGGTAGCTTAGTCTTAAATTGCCTAGATCTTTATAGGATCCGCCTATATACCTACGCCGGTATAGATAATAAAGCTTAGGTACTTAACCCTCTTAACCTTAAATTCGTACTTATCTAGGTCGAGGTAAAGCCTATAAAGTTAGAGGCGCTTTAAGACCCTCTATACTTTCTATATATAGTTCTTATAGGAGCCGCTTATATAGATAAGGATATTATCTATATATATAGAGGTAAACTTATCGAAGAAGTCTTAAAGTACGTTATTAATATAACGCTAGAAGGTAGCGGGCGCTCCTAAGAGGCTAAAGGGCGTTATAAGCTACTTAAATAAGCTATAGCGTATGTAGAACGCTGTCTTTTACTCGTTACCCTTTAAGATCTATACCTTATAGAACGCCTATTTTATATCTAGCTTTATAAACTACTTTACCTTTAAAAGGTTATAGAGTATATCTAAGATTAAGGGTAAAGGGTAGCGGTCTAGCCTTATAATTATATTTAGAGCCCTATAGTTATAATAGAACTATATCCTACCCCTTAGTTTACGTATAAATAGGACCAGCGCTCTTACTTTAAAGCTACTTACTTAAATAAAACCTTTATTTAAGAGGTCCCTTAGCGTCTTCTTTAGTACTAGCAGCTCCGCGTATAATATACTATATAGCGGTCCGAACGGTATAAGTAGTTCCTACCCCTTCTTATTAGTATAAAGTACGATCTTATAGTCTACTCCTAGCTTATATAAGTTAAGCTTATCTACTTCCTAGGACTTAAATAGTAGTAAGAGGTTATAAAAGCGCTCCGGTATTTACTACTATAGCTTAGAGGGCGACTTTAGCTTCTTTACCTAGAGGGCCTTATCGATATCTACTAAGCTAACTATATAGACCGCTACGTTAGCCGCTACCCGGCCTTCCTCTTACTTTAACCGTCGCACGGTTCCTATAAAGATAGAGGTAAGGACTTCTTATACTAAGTATAAAGCTCGCACGCTTAGTCCTACGCCTATAAAACTATCGTCGTAGTAGACCTACCGTTATATAGGCCTAAACTATAGCTTCTTTTAGTACGGAACTAAGTATAACTCTATATATAATAACTAAGGTTTCCCGAGGATTAAGGGAAACTCTAGTTAAGGGATTATATAGGCTACGATAAGCTTATAGTAACCGTCGACCTCTATAGCTAGCTACGTAATACCCTTAATTACTATACCCTCTATTATGCCTAAGGCGCCCTTTACTTACCTTAAAGCGATCTTTTTTACCGGTACTTATATCTCTCGTATAAGCGCCTCGTTAACTATAGCGTAGTACTAGTAGCCCTCGTTTATAAGGGCGGCGACGGGTAAGGAGTTATTAACTATAACTTATATTAAAGTAGGCTCCTTTTCTATATAGGCGGATAATTCCTCCTTCTCCTTTACTAGTGCTAGTAATTAGGGCTCCGGAGCTTATCTTTACTCTAGAGCTACTCTTTTTCCTCTAGGCCTAAGGGAGCGGAGTCCTCTTCGTCGTCTAAGGCAAGGAGCGGTTCTATCTTCGCTACTTAAACTACTATAGGCCGCTTAGCTAAAAAGAAGGGGCATTTTAATATAAAGTATATAGACGCGCCGTAATATAGGTAGCGGCCGTTAGCTTTCCTTTTCTTAATTTCCTCGCTTATTACCTACTTCGCCTACTACTTAAAGAGCGGGATAGTATAAGGGATATTTAAAGATAACTTCCTACTATATTTAGCTCGGTCTATATAGGTAGCCGATATTAAGGTATCTCCGTTAGTATTAATAGTCGGCTATTCCTCTTATAAAGGGGCGGTAATCCCGTCGCCGCTATATAGCGTACGCTTATAAAGCTTTTAGAAACGCAGCATCTACTTATAGCCCTATACTACCTTTATTAACCGGCTTACGTACTCGCTATAGTTAGTAGGTATAATTATAAGGATAAGTAGCTCCTATAAGGCTAATATAATTAAGTTTTATAACTATATAAGCTTCGCGCTATCTTCCTATACTATAGTTCCTATTACTTATAAGAGCGTCTCTTTAAAGTTAGGGAGGAATTCGCTAAAGGTCTACCTATCCCTTTACTTAAGGGTCCGTAGCCTATCCTATGCCTTCTCCCGCTCTTATACGTTGCTAAACGTATATATAAGGTATTAGAAGAAGTCCTATAGGTCGCGTCTACCTCTAGGGCCGCCTTTATCCTAGAATCTAGAGATCCGCCGTATCTAGGGCTCCGGCAGCGTATAGAAGAGCAAATACTACGCTATATTATAATAGCCGTTTAGGCCCTATTTCTCGTCTATTATAAACTTCGTCTATAGCTAGCTAAGGAAGAAGTAGAAGGACTTAGGCTTACCGTCCTAAGTTAGCTAA